TTGTTTTATATGCACAAAATATACATTGTATTTATATGGAAGTCATAAATCAGTGAAGGGCTTTCAATACTATATTGTGACAGAAGGTTGAAATCCCCTGTCATACATATATAGAGATCTAATTTGAAAATAATGGGTTACACTTATAATAGCCATGCCATAATTTTACTATGAATCATGTATTCTTTATTTTTATAACAATAGGGAAGCATTGGGAGTTTGCATAGCCTTTTTTTGTGCTATAAAATCCATGTGGGTAAAGTTTTCAGGTCTGACCCCATCTGAATTCTCTACCTGCTTCACCAAATGTGTCTCCACCATAATGAATTGCCATCTAGTTCTGGTGTACAACTAAGATTAGTGTAAATGGCCTGTATCATATGAGGAGCCTTAAGGATCGATCCCCTGGACAATAAATCAAAGGATGGTAACTCTCCCCTAACATTGTATATTTATTCATCCAGTAGCTTTGTTAGCTACCTTTCAGTGGCTATGAATTAAGAGCTCTTGCAACCTCATTTTCCTGAGTAGAATGTTACATACCTATTAGCCATTTGTATGCTTTGAGAAATGGCTGTTTAAATCTATTGCACAATTTTGAATTCATTTGTTGTTAGGATTGAGTTTTGATTAAGCATACTGATCTATAATATTTCCTTTTGTCCTTTTATTTTGCATAGTTGTCTAGGTTTTCTATCAAGGTTATGCAAACTGTGTAAAATGTACTTAGGAGTGTTCTTTGTCTTTGATGCTGTATAATAAAATGAGGAATATTTGTATTATTTCTTCAAATTTTTTATTAGAATTCAGCAATATGAGCGAGTAGGAAAGCTACAAAAACTCACCAACTTGTCTGTTTTATAGAATTTGCTTTTGTCTCTGAAAATAGTAACTTTAATATTTTAGTCACATGCAAATGAAGCAAAATAACATAATCAACTCTGTTGTGATTACCTCTACACAGACAACACTAGTTGGTCATACTGGCAGCCACATGTTCATGTCTGCATCTCCCATCTTCCCTCTGCACAGTGAAATGGGATAATGACTCTGTGAAACTTTTATCACAAGAGGAGGTGTTTGAACGAACTGCTTTAGTTGGGTCCAGTGTGTGGTAGTGTCATATTGTAGAAAGGGGCCAAATGTGCACTGTTTTCTCCTTTCCTTCACTTGTGAAAAGACCAGTTCATATTGTTCTCTGCTGGGAAATTGTACCTATTATTCATTTGTCACAAGGTTGACAATGCTTTAAAGTAGCATGGGACTTTTGAATGATTCTACTTCTCCTAAAGGTTGGATGCAATCCAAATCCAAGAACACAT